CCGAGGATGGAAGGATTTTTGGGAGGAAGGTGGGTCAGCTCGTTCGGAACGAGCACATTGAACAGCTGGCTTCATGAGGGCGGTTCCTGCCGACCGTTCCATCGGCCTCTTCTCTGCTAAAACGATGGAACGATGGGCAACTTCATGCGCGGAAATGAAGGCGAAGCTAGAGCAATCGCATGCTCCACATCTACCGGTGTCAGACGAGGGGAAAGGGTTTACGAGATGGGGCTCCAAATGAAAGGCTTGTCGACGTAATAGCTCGAAAAAGTCGTTATTGGGTGTCTTTCGCTTGGCATTTAATGAGACCCAACGCATTCAATCCGCTCGGTAAATTCCTTGCCGTGGTTCAATAAAGTTGAGGCCGTGAGCGGATCTTGAAAACAGAAAAAGAGGAGAGCGGGAAGGAGCATGAGGAGTATTTCATAGCCGAGTGGCCACGAGTTGGCTAATTGTGGCGGAACATCGCGAGACCAGAATTTTGGCTCGAAGGAAGTTGTCGCTTTAATCATTTTTCACGTCCTCTTGCTCCGCTTCAGAATCATTTTCCGTGGTGCTGCCCTCATCTTCAAAGTCGAGCTAGATGGATGGAGCGAGGACAAGTGATTAGCAGATTGTACACCACAATAGTATTTCAGAAGACAATAAAGTAAAGATTCGGATTATACAAGAGGAAATGTCGTAGTGAGTCGCAAGGCTTTAAACAGCGTCGCCCAAGGTGCAGATGAGTCAGGCTAAAGTGATGGAAAAGCTTACCGGGTCATAGACCACACGAATAATCAGACTACAGCTTGGACAGGTCGCAATATCTTCATAATTGGCTAGTTGTGCCTTGGAGATCTCGAATCGATCGCCACAGGGACACGGGTAGTGGTAGACGCCTTTGATATCGTCCCATACCATGTCCTCGATCTCAATCTCGTCATAATATGGACCCATTTTCAGGTGTGTTTTTCTTGTTTTGATTTATATGAAGAATAAAGCAGTCGATAAAATAAGTCGTAAAAGGGGAAAGAGGTCAAAATTTTGGCCAAAGTATATAAACATAGGATAATCAACACGACGGTAAATAGCTGCG